TTTTAGGAACAAACTCAAGTGTTCTCTTCTAGGTTGTAACAATGGATGGAAATGTTTATAGGAAGGAGTTCATGTTGTCCAGAAAACTCAACTGGAGGAGAAGAGATAGGTGAAGGTTAAGGGAAATGAAGACTCATCTTTCTGGAGTTCCAACCTTGAATATTTTTGAACTTGCCTCTAAGCCCTTAATTTTCATTATCACAACTGTTGGCTGGGAACAGAGCGTGGGGAGAAACACATACACACAAAAACATGTTTGCATTTACCAAAGTGCAATGAAAGAATAGCTTTCATATCATTTCTTTACTTCTTAATTTTGCTTTTCTGAACTAACACATCTATTTATATGTGTTAGTTTTCTAGGTAGAAATTTGGCTTTCTGTACTCTTAAACTCAAATTGCTATTCAAATCAACTTTAATCTCTTCTGAACCAGAAGTTATATGGTAGGTGGTGGTGAAAATGATTGGACACGGGGAATCCAGGGAAGAGGAGACCCTTCCTTGGTCCCTTAGACTAGGAAGATACAGCCTTCAGGAAGCAAAGGAGCTGAGAACTGGCTAGTAAGCTTAAGTAGAAGGAGTGTGTGGGCCCCTGACTGTAGAGATATCAGGATCCAAGGTCACTTGCAGGTCAGTTTGAGACCTCAGAGGTCAGGGATGTTGTGAGGGTCTTGTTTTCTGTAATAAAGATTTGGAAAGGCATTTTTCATGCCAACTTTTCCTGATCATGTAATTTTAGAAATTTTGAGAGCAGGAACAGAATCTGCATTTTGTCTTTCTGTTATCCATAGATGGTATAGTTAGCAATGGACTGAATATATAAACCTCCAGTGGTAGATGGCACTTGAGGTTAATGTTTAATTTATTAACCCTTAGGAAAGGAAGTATCACTTTGCATTTTTATCATTGACTTTAACATATAAAGAATTCCAAGATATAAAGAATTCCAAGATATAAAGAATTCCAAGATATAAAGAATTCTTTGCATTTTTATCATTGACTTTAAGATATAAAGAATTCCAACCAGGCATGGTGGCTCACATCTGCAATCCCAGCACTCCCCTGGGATGCCCAGGCAAGGAGATCAATTGATCTCCCGAGACCAGCCTGAGCAAGAGCAGTAATAAGACCCTGTCTCTACTAAAATTAGAGGGTGCCTATAGTCCCTGCTACTTGGGAAGCTGAGGCAGGAGGATTGCTTAAACCTAGGAGTTTGAGGTTGCTGTGAGCTAAGCTATTGCCATGGCACTCTAGCCTGGGATAACAGTGTAAGACTCTGCCTCAAAAAACCCAAAAATTTTAAAAATGGAAAAAAAAAAACCAAGCAAAAAATGTTTAAAGAATTACACACGAATAGTTTCATTAGTCCTCCTAATATTCCTATCACTAGATAAGAAGCAAGAATTATGATATATAGTAAATCACATCTCTGAACCAAAAAACAATTTCTTTTTAAAGAGATTAATCATTAATCTCAATTTCTCAGCTTAGAGAGGTTTTGTTCTTGTCGGTTGTTGTTTTGTTTTGTTTTCTGAGACAGAGTCACTCTCTTGCCCAGGCTAGAGTGCCCTGGCATAATTCACAGCAACCTCAAACCCCCGGGGCTCAAGTGATCCTCCTGCCTCAGCCTCCCAAGACGCTGGGACTACAGGTGCCTACCACAAGACCTGGCTAGTTTTTCTACTTTTAATAGAGACAAGGTCTCACTCTTGCTCAAACAATCTTTTTGCCTCACTTTTCCAGAGTGCTAGGATTACAGGTGTGAGCCACTGTGCCCAGCCTTGTTTTTGTTTTTTAATATTCTTTGCTGTCTCTTTTGGATAACTTCTTTGAGGAGGAGAGGTTGGAATCTTAGAGAACTGTCCTAAAATTTCTCAACAGACCTTTATCTTGCTAACATCCTTAATAGTATCTGTGAGCAGTGAAGTTCCATTGGTTAATTAAATCCTGGCAGTGAATTCTTTGACCTTTTTGAAGGCAAGGGTTAAGGTTGACCTAAGGCAAAATGATGAAATAATCGAAGTTATCTGCACTACCCCCTCCCACTCCTCGGTCCTCACCCTGGAAACCTCCTTCTTGTCCTGAGCCTCCATGTTATTGCCTCATAAAAGGCTTAAGGCCTTTTGTTACTCTCTAGTTGTCACATTCTAGTCTCTCTTTTAAAAAAATGCATGTTCTTTGTTTTATCCTCTCTAATGAAATCCTTCAAAGATGACAATTGACTAATCTGTTAAATGAATTAGTGAGCTGGGACTTGTTAAATTCATTTTTCTCCCTTTCCACTTTCACCTTAATTCACTCTGGCTTTTGCCCACAACTAGATTGAAGCTGTCAATTACCTCCATTGTTTGATTTCTTGGAAGCTTTGGACACTGTCACTTCCTTCTTTCTTCTAAGATACTCTTCCCTTAAACCTCACAAGGCCATTTGGCTACCCCTTCTCAGTCTCTTTTGTTGGAGATATTAGAGTATCCTCTAGGGCCTCTTTTCTTTCCTTTTTCTTTCTTTTTTTCCTTTTTTTTTTTGGAGACAGAGTCTCACATTGTCACTGTGGCATCACTGTAGCTCACAGCAACCTCCTTAGGCTCAAGGCATCCTCTTGCCTCAGTTTTTCTATTTTTAGTACAGATGGGGGTCTCACTCTTTTGCTCAGGCTGGTCTTGAACTCCTGAGCTCAAACAGTTCACCACCTTGGCCTCCCAGAGTACTAAGATTACAGGTGTGCGCTGCTGCTCCAAGCCTAGGGTCTCTTTTCTCATTCATCCTAATTAGGCTAGCCCATAGACTTCTTGCCTTTGATTGCCATCTCTGTGCTTCTCCCCTTTCTGCTTAGCACCCCCCCCTCTCCTCCTACCCCCTAAGGTTTAGATTTTTGTTTCCAATTGCTTCTAGGACATTTCCACTTGGATGTCTGACAGGTATCTACAACATAGCGCCATCAAAACTAAACTCATCCCCCAAACTGCTTCCTCATCTCCATGTTCATAATTCAGTGAGAATGGCACCACCATAAACCCCGTTGCTCAGAACCAAAAATATAATTTAACCAACAAATAGTTTTGAAACACCTCTATGTGCCACACACTCTGCCACAGCATGTATGTGAGGGATAAACCATTTAAGATGAATCCCCTGTCCTTGAGGTGCTTACAATTCTGTGGGGAAGGCAGACAGACAAGTAACTAGTCATAATTGTCACAAGCACTTCCAAGAAAAAGATAAGGAATCAGCTTTGACTCTTGCTCCCTCCTCCATTGAATCACCAGGTCCTATCAATTCTAACTCCTAAATATCACAAGATTGTCCTTTTCAGTTCATCCCACTCTCATCACTGTCTCCCACTTAGACCAAAACACCTCCTGACTGGTTTCCCCATGAGGACCCTTGCCCCTACAGTCTATTTACCACACTAGTGACCTTTTAAAAATGTAAATCTGTTTAAAACACTTCACTGGTTTTCTACTGCCCTTGGGATAAAGTCTCTACTTCTTACCGTGGCTTACAATGCCCTCTGTACCCCAGCCTCTCCTCTCCTGGCTTGTATCTTTACCTTATCTCTGGCCACCCTTCCTCCTACTTCTCACCACTCTTATGATTCTCTACTTTTAGAGCCTTAGTATATCCTTTTCTCTCTGCCTAGCAGACTCTGCTGCCCCTCCCTTCTCCTGCTGACCTTTCCTGGGTCACTTAGCTAATTCCTATTTTCTTCAAGCCTCCAGTTTACCAAGTTAGTTCCCCATATTATACCTCATGCCAGTGCCTTTGGTTTCTGTTTTTATAATATTCATCATATTTGTACTGTGCTATTCCCTGAAGATAGGACCATTGTCCATCCAGTTCACTGCCATCTCTCTAAGGGAGTATTTGTTGGTATTTGTTAATTGAACGTGTTGCATAAATCATAAATAGCAGATGTTTAAAGGATTCTTTCTTTAAAGCCTGCTGTCTTTCAAGCAATTGACATACTTTAGATGCATTTAAATGCTTACATACTCCAGTGGTGTTTTTGTTTATTTGTGTTACTTCCCAATCTATGTCACAAGTCATGAATTTCAGAGCATGCAGGAGAAGTGGAGACATGACAGACCAATGAAGAATTTTTTTTTTCCAACAGATATTTGGAACCTTGCAGTAGCCTTCACATCACACCGTATAGACACTAATTCTACCCATAATTTCTAAAAAAAAAAAAAAAAGTCAGGAGCTAGCTAAACAAAGGTAGTAGAAACAAGATAATAGACTTGACCCTCCAATTTTTTATCCTAACTCAGTTAATCATTTGCCATATGACCTAGTGAAAACTCTTTCTCAGTTTTTCCATGTTAAATGAATATCACAGCATGTGTTTATCTGACCAAGGAGAAAAAGGAATAATAATCAAAAGGTCGTGTAACAAGTAAATCTTTACTGTTTTCAGATGCAAAAGAAGTGTTTTCTAATATTGTATTAATATTAATTCAGATTATGCTCATATTCTCCATAATGAAGGTAAATCAACATTGCCCTTCTTTCTCTTCTTCTACCTTTTTTGCTTCCCTCCTCTGCCCTCTTCTCCTCTTGTCTTCCCTCCTTCAACAATTTTAATCCTAAAGCCTCGATTAGCAAGGTAGGAATCTTCATGGTGGAAGAGGGTGTGGGGAGCAGCGGTACCTAGAAAGGGGACCTGGGGTCTGAGCAGGACAAGGGCATCCATGCAGGTATTGCCTGGGAGTGAGTGCTAAAACCTGAGTGGGTTGAAAAGAGTGTCTCAGGGTGTGTAACTGGGACTCAAACATGTGAGCTAGAGTCCACATGAATGAGCATGTGGTTGGTGTGGTCAGCACTGGGGCGGGGAGAAGAGATGGCCCCCGGCATTTGTGCTAAGGATGGCTCTTCCCACACCACCACTTTCTGGTGTGGAACCCAGAAGCGCTTGAGAATTCTAAATTCAAATTTAGCCTCCTAGGTTATGAAAGCATATGTGTCAAGGGAAAGGGAAAGACTATGTCTATGTTTTGTTTTAAATATGGAACACTTCACAAATTTGGGTATCATCCTTGCACAGGGGCCATGCTAATTTTCTCTGTATTGTCCCAACTTTAGTATATGTGCTGCTGAAGCAAGCACTGGAAAGAGTATATCTATATCCCATTTTATTTAACAGTTCATTAGCTTGATTTGTATATTTTAAGTATTTAAATACGTGTATGCAGACCTTCATTTGTTCTCTTGCTATGGCCCTGCAAATGGTAGGACGGGCCTATGGAATATCCTCCTGGTAACCTGTGTTTCCGACTTCATTGTAAAAAGTGAAATTAAGAAAGTGTCATTTAAAAAGCCCTCCGGACCTATCTGTGCCTTTCATCATAGTATTTTAAACTGCTTGCAAACATTTCATAAGCCAAGTTGGCACATAAGTAGTTCAGTTATGGGAACAACCAGCCTGTGCCAAGTAGTTACTTTAGAGAACCAAAGGTCAGTGACTGGAGATGGCATGACCCGGTTAAACTGAATGCAGCTCCCTGTACCATCCGGCACAGGCATGATGTTATGTCAACTCTATGCAGATTGAACCAAACTGCTTTTGCACATGCGCCTCCAAGTAATTCCCCTTGTTCTATAAGAACAAAACTATCATGTTCTGAAGTTTCGCATATTGAAACTGATCAGTTTGTATTTATTTTTTTTGAGACAGATTTGTCTCAACCATTGGTGGAGTGCTGTCATATCATAGCTCACAGCAACCTCAGACTCTTGGGCTCAAGTCATTCTCTTGCCTCAGTCTCCCAAGTAGCTGGACTACAGGCCCCTGCCACTTGCCCAGCTATTTTAGACACTGGTCTCTCTCTTGCTCTGGCTATTTTTGAACCAGTGAGCTCAGGCAATCCACCCACCTTGGCCTCCCAGAGTGCTAGGATTACAGGCATGAGCCACTGTGCCTGGCCTGTCAGTTTGTACTTTTGTGAAAAGTTTGAATTTGAAACTAGGCTCGGCACCTGTGGCTCAAGTGGCTAAGGCGCCAGCCACATACACCTAAGGTGGCGGGTTCAAATCCAACCTGGGCCCACCAAACAACAATGATGGCTGCAACTAAAAAATAGCTGGGCATTGTGGCAGGCACCTGTGGTCCCAGCTACTTGGGAGGCTGAGGCAAGAGAATCACCTAAGCCCAGGAGTTGGAGGTTAT